TGGTTTTTGGGACTCAAAAGGTAAGTAATAGTATGACGCTGTTAGTGTACCGAGTTGCATAGATCTTTTGACAAATGATTTGCTCCTTCCCTATAGGATTTCCTTCACTTATGGTTCAGCCTCCTTCGATGGTCCATCCAATCTTTACCTTGTAGCATCTGCCGACGTGTACAATCTCAGGAGCTTCAAAGTCGACGAATCAGAGTGCGTACCATTGGGGGTTGGCGAGCTATCAAAGATGGCCGTGATCACGATATAGAGATGGAGAGGATAGACACAAGTGCATTGCACGACTCGGCGAATGTGCTAGTGTCACCGTGTACTAGAGTCTAAGAGTGTTTGGTTCTCGAGAGTTTTGTGTAAACTTGATTACAGCGATTTAGACCCTACTACTAGTGTCGGCAAATTCAAAATATGTATTGTATCGAAGCCTGTTGGAGGCTGCTGGTTCAAAATCCTCATGTAATGTTTGGCGAGTCGAGATATTCGAGTAGCATTTTTTTCTTCCCACTTGGATAATTACTGTATACGTACTGTGCTAGTGAATTTGTGCAATTATGTAAGTAGTAATAACAAGTAAGAGTGAGTAAGAGTACGAGTCGATGGGCGCTTGCGTGATGGGCGCCAAACACCTACTACGTCTTGAAGTTCAAGGTTCACCACTGGGTACGGTCCATGCCGGACATTGCACTCCGTTCGTTTTCCAACACGCGCGGAGACTATTATACTCGACTGGATACGAATACGCCTACATCACGAACGCCTAGCATGAATCGAAACGTTATACGGGCAGCAGCAGCGCGGCCGCGGCGATACGTGGACGATCCAGTCGAAGAGGAGGAGGCTATTGGGCTATTGGAGGAGGGTGGTGTGGAGGGGGAGGGAGTGGAGGAGCAGGAACAGTCGAGATCCCCGTCAAGGCTCAGTCGGAAACGAAAAAGGAAAAGCTCAGGCGCCCCCCGCAACATCCCATTCCGCCCCCAGCCCTCCAAATTCCCCCCCAACATCGTCCGGAACCAAAAATACAACGTTCTCACATTCTTCCCTCTAGTATTCTACGAACAATTCAAGTTTTTCTTCAACCTCTACTTTCTACTGGTCGCACTAAGCCAGTTTATCCCCGCGTTGAAGATTGGGTTCATCGCTACATATATCGCGCCACTAGCTTTCGTACTGTCTATCACCATAGGGAAAGAAGCGTACGACGACTACAAGCGGAACCTGCGAGACCGCGAGGCCAATGGGCAGAAATACCTTGTGGTGGATGGAGACGGGCCGCTCTCAACGAAGGCGCTGCCGTCGTCCTCGCTGCTCGTCGGGCACCTCGTCAAGCTAGTCAAAAACTCACGGGTACCAGCAGACATGGTGCTTCTGTGGACCGCCGACCCCGCCGGCACGTGCTTCGTGCGCACTGATCAGCTTGACGGCGAGACTGATTGGAAGATGCGTGTCGCTGTCCCAGAGACGCAGGTCCTAGGCGAGAATGCTGTCGCTGCCATTCCAGAGCACGAAGCCGAGGTCTATGCTGACCAGCCCGCCAAGGATATACATTCTTTCGTCGGCACGTTTACTTTGCATGGCCGTACCACTCCCTTGACTGCAGAGAATTTGTTGTGGGCCAATACAGTCCTGGCTTCTAGTTTTCCTGTTATTGGGTTCGTGGTGTATACCGGCCCCGATACTAGAGCCGTCATGAATACGTCGAAACCCAAGTCCAAGGTGGGGTTGTTGGAGGAGGAGGTTAATAGATTGGCAAAGATTCTTTGTGGGGTTACTTTTGTGTTGAGTGTGGTGCGTGCGATCCAATCTCTATTTATTATGTCTAACATATCACAGGTTTTGGTAGCTCTAAACGGCTTTCGAGGCGCCCAACATACTCTTGTCGTGGTCTTTCGGTTTTTGATTCTGTTTAGTAGTATTATTCCCATTAGGTGCGCTGCCCTCCCCTCCTTCCTCCACCCTCCTCTAACCTCCACCACCCCGCCGCCTCCCCTACAGTCTCCGCGTAAACCTCGACCTCGGAAAATCCCTCTACTCGCACCAGATCATGTCCGACTCCACAATCAAAGGCACCATCGTACGAACCTCCACCCTCCCTGAAGAACTAGGCCGCGTCTCGTACCTCCTCTCCGACAAAACAGGCACCCTCACACGTAACGAGATGGAGATGCGCAAGCTGCATATGGGGACGATGAGTTATGGCGTTGAGAGTATGGATGAGGTTGCTAGGCAGTTGAGTGTGGCGATTGCTGAAGGGGAAGGGAAGCATACCCATACCCATACTAGAGATCCATCGTCACACGTGCAGCCAGCAGGAAGAGGAAGAAGAGACATGTCATCCCGCGTTCGAGACGTCGTACAGGCTCTTGCACTGTGTCATAACGTGACCCCGGTTTGGGATGATAACGAGGCGACGAGTATAGATGAGACGGGGAATACCACTACAAAGACGTACCCGAACGGCACACCGACGTACCAAGCTTCCTCACCAGACGAAGTAGCTATCGTTACGTGGACTGAATCGATTGGACTGGGGTTAGTGTATAGGGATAGAACGAGGATTGTGTTGAGGGCGGGGAAGGCGCCGCCGAGGGTGGGTGATGCCACAGGGCAGTTTACTATCGGTGAAGATGACGAAGGCCTCAGTCCTTCCCCCTCCCCCACTCCCTCAACACATGACTCCTCTTACCTAACATTCGACATCCTCTCCATCTTCCCCTTCACCTCCGAATCCAAACGCATGGGTATCATCATCCGCGAGACAACTCCGGGCTCCCGCACCTCCGGGGATCTCTGGTTCATCCTCAAAGGCGCAGACGTAGTCATGGCCCCCCTCGTGCAGAGGAATGATTGGCTCGAGGAGGAGACGAGTAATATGGCGAGGGAGGGGTTGAGGACGCTTGTAGTGGCGAGGAAAAAGTTGAGTGTGGCTACTTGGAAGAGGTTTGATGAGGAGTGGAGGGAGGCCAGTACGAGTGTTGCGATTGGGGGGAATGCAGGTACGTGACCTACGCTTTTGGGGGGTTGGCACGCTAATTGATACGCTGCAGCCGAATCCCGCGCCTCAGCCCAAGCCCGGGTCATATCCACCCACCTCGAACACGACATGGAGCTCCTCGGTCTCACGGGTGTCGAAGACAGGCTACAAGACGATGTAAGAGGGACTCTGGAGGTGATGCGTAATGCCGGGGTGAAGGTGTGGATGTTGACGGGGGACAAGGTCGAGACGGCTAGGTGTATTGCGATTAGTACCAAGATGGTTGGGAGGGGACAGTATGTGCATGAGGTTGCGAAAGGTAAGTGCGCCCACTTTTGTCTACTTTCGTTGGGTGCTAATGGGGATTTTGGGGGGCTGTAGTAAAAACCTCCGCACAACTCAAAGACCACCTCGACTTTCTCCAAAACAAGTTGGATTGTTGTCTAGTCATTGACGGGGAGAGCTTACAACTCTGTCTCAACCTGTATAAGAACGAGTTTATAGAGATTGCGACAAAGCTGAGTGCAGTGGTTGCTTGTCGGTGTTCGCCGACGCAAAAGGTGTGTATACGGTACCCAGGATTTCTTTGGAGACTGATTCATTCGTGTGCACAGGCAGACATTGCACGCCTAATCAGATCCTACACAGGGAAACGTGTCTGCTGTATCGGCGACGGCGGAAACGACGTCTCCATGATCCAAGCCGCCGACGTTGGCCTCGGCATCGAAGGCAAAGAAGGCCGGCAAGCCTCCCTCGCCGCCGACTTTTCCCTAACCCAATTCTCCCACCTCTCCACCCTCCTCCTCTGGCACGGCCGAAACTCGTATCGGCGTTCCGCGACCCTAGCCCAATTCGTCATTCACCGCGGGTTGATTATAAGCATCATGCAAGCCGTGTTTAGCGCGATATTTTACTTTGCGCCGATTGCGCTGTATCAGGGATGGTTGATGGTTGGGTATGCGACGGTGTATACGATGATGCCGGTGTTTAGTTTGGTGTTGGATAGGGATGTGAGTAGGGAGATGGCGCTGGTTTATCCCGAGCTCTATAAGGAGTTGGTGAAGGGAAGGGTGTTGGGATACAAGAGCTTTTTTGAGTGGGTGATGATTAGTGTTTATCAAGGTGAGTCCGCGATGCGTTGAGTCGAGTTACACTGATGATTACCCCCGCCTTCGCCTTCACAGGCGCGGCGATAATGATCATGTCCCTCGTATTATTCGAAAACGAGTTTTTGCATATCGTTTCAATATCATTCACGGCCTTGGTGTTGAATGAGCTGATAATGGTCGCGTTGGAGATTACCACTTGGTGTGTATTCATCGTTTGTAGCGCGCGCGCAAGTCCACACTAATACCTATGTTCTCCGCAGGCACACATACATGATCATTTCGGAAGTGGTAACACTGTTCTTCTATGTGATTAGTATTGCGTTTTTACCTGAATATTTTGGTGTGTTCCCTCCTCCTTCCTCCTGATTATGGTGGCTGACCTTGTGGAAACGAAACGCAGACCTCTCCTTCGTCGTCACCCTCGGTTTTGCGTGGAAAGTCACTGTCATCGTAGGGATTAGCGCGTTACCACTGTGGATTGTGAAGATGGTGAAAAGTAGGTTTGCGCCGGCGGCGTCGAGTAAGTTGATTTAGGGCGGGACGGGTGGGGGTTTGAGTAAGACCATGTACCTGTATATAGACGGATGGACTCGAACTTTTACTTTTACCTTATTCACTTTATTCAAAGTACAGTATCTAGGCAGTCTGCTGTTACATCATATATGATATCAAGACACAGAGCAAAGAAATTTCGTTTCGGCTACCCGGAAATTGAAATTTGTTTGTTTGTAAGATAAAGAGTGAGAATCTGAAAGCCGAGAAGGTGCAAGTACTAAGAATTGTTATTACAGCTGACATCTGCTTAACATGCCCAGGGAAAAACGACTAGGTAAATTAGATCAAAATTTCTTAGGCTTTAAGGCTAACATTAAGCAAGGTTCAAAAACAAGACCATGTACTAGCGTTATTCAGAAAGGTCTAACCAGGACTCGAACCTGGGTTACGGGAAATATTTGGACCATCAAAATCCCGTGTGATAACCTCTACACTATTAGACCTTACCTATAGCAGTAACAAAAGTCTTTTTATCAGGATAGTATATGTACACTTGTCCGGTGAATGCATGGAGGACACAAGTCTACAATTTTTTTTTTTTCTGCTTGTGAGATTTAGGAGGGCAGAAAGATGAAGTGTTTGGAAACGTCAAGGTTCATGAGGAGGCTAGAGCAAAAATGAAGGAGAATGTGATCAATACAAGCTCTGAACATGATACTTTTGGCGACTTGGCAAATGTTATCCAAAGTTAGCAAGGTTGAATATCAGACACTGGATTCAAAAATAAAAATAAAACTGTACGTTCCTGTCAAAAGTAGAAATTGTCCAATCAGGACTCGAACCTGGGGGAAATTCCATGGACTAACCGCATATCTAAATCCCATGTTCTAACCTCCACACTATTGGTATTACACCAGGTTTACTAATGTAGCCAAAACCTCCAATAGATAATGAAAAGAAGTTCCTACATGTTGGCCGTTTCACATTAAGATGTTATACAATGTTCAAACTCCAATAAAAACGAATACAAACAAGCCTCCGAGGAGGAGAAAAGCAGCGGATGCACGTAGGATGGGGTATAATGAGCCAGATGATGGTAGTCGCGAAGTTGGTAAGAAAGAGGATGAAGACACAACTGGCGAGGACTTCAGAGATTTGTGTAAAACAGCATCATCACAAGGCTCAAACTGGGATACATCCCCAGCGTCCTCGTCCGCATTAACAGACACCACACCGCCAAAAAAGTCGGTAATCAACGCCTCTTTACCCATCTTGCCCTGCTCTCCTTCCCTGCCTTGCCACTCGCCTTCGACTTTCCACCCAGGACCCCTCCCATACTCTGCCATGGGATGCTGCTGCTGAGGCCCCAATGGGCGTTGAAACAAGTCGGATCTCACCCCCGGGTGCGATCCAATTTTCGGTACATCGTAGGACGCAAAGAGGTCGGCCATAGTTAGACGAGAGGTCTTGTTGACGCGTTCCATGTACTCGAGGACGTAGTGTGTGTACGAGTCGATAACTGCGACGCCCACATCATAGTCATTCTCATGCGAATACGAGTTTTCGCCAACCACCGAGCTTCCCGTTGCGAGGATACCAGGCGAATACAGTGTCGAATACATTGAATTCGCCTGGCAGGTATCGACCATGAAGAAAATCTCATTGTATCGACCTGCCTGGTGCATCTGGTGCAATGCGTCTGAAATATCATGCGCTGAGACCTCCTCGTTGTCCTGAAATTTCAAGAATTCGTTCCCGCCATGACCAGTGAGGTAGATGAAGATATTCGAATTCTTGTCCGTGAGCAACCGTTTTGACCTTGGTATACTCTCGTCGTGCCGTCCAGTAAGCAGCCGGAGGAAATTCTCCACTGTGACTTCGTAACCGCGGTAATCGACCTCGATATTATCCCCGTACAAGTCTAATTCTCGACCAGTATTGGCATAGACTGACCCGGCGAATTTGTTTCTCGAGTTGCATGCAGCATCGTCAGCTAAGATTCCACACAAATCAATCTTGTTACCGGTGTATTCTGTATCCAGGAGACTAACCTAACATGAGGATGATTTGCGAGTCGGGGATTCCGAGACGTTTAACAGTCCGATACATCCCTAGCGCGTTGGCCATATGTCTGTAGTTGAACCAGTATCGGGAAGAACAGACGAGAACTGCCCAGTTGTTTGTATGCTCACCCGCTGCATAATGAATCCCAGCTAGCAGCCAGAGCCAGTTGAGAAGGAATTTCATGTAGGGTGGTAGAGGATGAGTAAGTGGGCGCGTAGACGCCTAAACTGAATAAGGCGCTCAGACCAACTCTTTTTGTTCTTGACTACTAAGCCATGTCTGATAAAGACCCTGGACCGAGTTCAAGAAAGTCAAAAAAGCACACTTTAGATGATACAGAAGGCAAGCACGTCGAGGACGTAGTAGAAGTCAAGGTCAAAAAGCCCAAGACTACTAAATCAAAAGGAAAACAAAAAGTGCAGCGGAATTATGATCATTGGCCTGAGTATCTCCATTCGGTTAGCTTTCCATCTCGATTCAAGGAATCTTCTTACACCCTATGATAGCTCTTCAAGGTAATGAGCTCATAAACGCTATGAACTGCTAAAGCTGAAGAATTTTATAGGTTTACAAGGTATACTGGTCTTGTTATCAGCCTTTGTGTAAATACATAATATGTTTCAGGCTCTCAATACCGTCCTTGCATTCGTCACATCGAGGAAACAACTAGGCACTACATTCCCTTCTATCCGATCCACTGTTGAAAACATTACTAAACAGTGAGTGCTGAAGTACCATTACACGCTTTCAAGTACTAACTGTCAAAGGCCTTTGAACATGTCACAAGTGGCGGAACTCAAGTACACTCAAATTCTCATAAAAAATCGAGCCTCTGTTAACATTCATGAGCTATAGAGCGTTATTACCTGAGATCATTACATTTTCCTATGTTCCTCGCAATCAAATCCGAGTCAATGTTGCCGACAAGGCCTCTGACGAGCCCGATTTCTCTGCCTGTATGGAACCAAAAGATTCAAGGCTTGGATTGACAAACGAAGTTGAACCAGAGCATGTACTTCTTTTAGAGTTTGCTGAGAGCTGGAAAGGGACTCCGGGAGGGACAAGGTAGGCTTGTCAACTCGTTTTTAAAACTCGACGACATAAACACCTCCATGTCCAGTGCGAGTCAGAATGCGCCACTCATACCAGCGACCCGAACGGCAGCCGCTACAAAGAAACTTGTAGAGAAAAGGAATGATAGATTTGTCAAAGCGGTAGATGAGTACGTCGGGCGACGTAGCCAATGCAGCATTGCACTGAGAACGGTTGAACAGATTATTAGCAGCGACGCCTGCCGCAGATGATTCAGTAGCACTTTTACAAGCCGCCGCTCGCGACCATATACCGGTCAATCCAGATCACAGGGGTGATTATCTGACAGTCGACGAGACAGGGCATATGCCTGTCCCATCCCCAGAAGATCGAGCATCGGTGCATGATATACTCGTCGAACTTGAGGGACAGCGCTGGTACAAGGATCAGATTGTAGAGCGCCGAACAATCGACGCGCGAGAGGGTCAAACAGGTTCGTGGTTGATAATCATAGATTTGGGGAGATGTCTAATGTTCGCTGGACATTCAAGGCCAACTCACACAACCACTCTCGACTTCCATCCAGCAAGCTCTAAAAAACTCCAGAAACATAACTTCTTTATACTCTCATCAGGCAGCCGCAATCGACGGCCTTGATTCAGGCAAAGATGTAATCGTCTCGACAAGCACGGCTTCTGGAAAGAGTGTGATCTATCAGGTTGGATTTTCCACAATATTATGAACATTTTGGCTAACCGTTTGGAAATCAGGTCCCTTTGCTTCGATTCTTGGAAAAAGAACCTCGAACGAAAGCTATATTCGTGTACCCGACGAAAGTCTGTACTAAATCAGTGTCCACATACCGTTTGGTTAATGATTGCCATTTCTCTCTCTTAGGCACTAGCCCAAGACCAAAAAACCGCGTTGGAAAAACTCCTACAGGCCTGTCCTGGCTTGGAACACATACAGGTGGAACTTTACCTCAACTCCAGCAAGATCAGAATTCCTGATATCTTCATTACCTAGGTCTCAACGTACGACGGAGACACTCCCACCGAGATGAGAGCAGGTATGCTACTGAGAAAGCCGATTCTCGCTGAATCTCATTCCTTTGTTAGGAATACGCGCATCGGCTTCAGTCATCTTTACCAACTTTGTGATTCCAGTCATCCTCTAAGCGCCGTTTTTACTTACTTGCTGTAACCCGCCAGGATATGATACACGCGTCCATTTTACCGCATGAAGAGATTTGGAGAAGGTGGGTATCAGTGAATCACTCAAATGCAGACTCTGATGATCCACGCTGCAGTTTCTTGAAGCACCTAAAGGTAAGATTCAATGGCATTGCGTTCCGAAAACGAAGGCGTTTATTTGGCTTAGCTTTTTGTCGCAGATGAACTGCACTACTACACGGGCACGTTCGGGAGGTATGTGTAGCGTTACTATATCTCCTATATCACTGAGCCCAGTCCACTTTCCTCTAGTCATGTCGCTCAAATCATGCGACGTTTTCGTAGAATTTGTGCAGCAATCGGCAGTACGTACTCCATTGATGAAGTTGGTTAACCCTTTTCAAAGCATGTGTTTCACTTTAGATCATTGCACACGCTTCGTCTCCTGCAGGTTGGTTAACCCTTTCTAATGCATACAACGGATCCATCGCACTTACTTCGGCTTGCAGTGCAACGGTCTCCAACCCTCTCGCTCATATGGTTAATATTTTCGGTCTGGACGCTGCCCAGATTAAAGTCGTCACTGAAGACGGTGCGCCTACTGGGTTGAAGGAGTTTCTGATCTGGCGCAGTCCATATGTAGACGATCTTTCTCCGGAAATTGGCCGACAAGCCAGTATGGTGCAAGCTACCGCTTTGTTCAGGTTCCTTATGAAACGTGGGATTCGAGTTATTTTATTTTGTAAGGTCAGGTCGACTTTGGTTGGTCGAAGTGCTTGAAGTTGGAGTCTAAATTTCGTTTTGTAGATCCGGAAAGTGTGCGAGCTAGTAAGTTGTTCGTCCTTGAGGTGGAATACAAGCATCGAATTTTTATCAGGCCATGAAGACGCTTCGTACCGAGTTAAGCAGTGAAGGACGCCACGATATCTTGGATAGGGTACAATCTTATCGAGGAGGTTAGTTTCGTATCATCTGCCCCTTTCACTGCTCACTATATGAATCCCACTCAGGATACTCTGCTGAGGTAACATTCCGGTCACTTCTTATACGGAGTTCTAAGCCATAAATTTAGGAACGAAGACGGATAGAACACGACGCATTTTCCGGGCACCTTCTCGGGATTGTGGCAACCAATGCTCTGGAATTAGGTGTCGACATCGGCGCACTGGATGCGGTACTAATGCTGGGATTTCCGGTCAACCTTGCGAGCTTTGTGAGTTGTTTCTTTTTTATGA